GTTTGTAGAATAGTGCCCATATATATGCATTACAGTATTTCTTAGCTGGTGTTGTAGAAGTGGCTGAAGAAAAGCAATTGCACCATTTTCTGAGCCAAGATCAGTGCGTAAAAACTAGGACATCCTATATACTTATATCAGTAAGTTTCTTATGCATGCATGTACCTCTTAATTCTTGCACTGCATTTACATAATAGTAAGCAATTTGCAATGGATCATTATTCGAATTTGCCACTTTTAGCCAAAAAATGTTTCTTGAATAACTAAATTATATAACTATTTCTACAATATGTATAAATTGTATATATATACCCATCAATGCATCCATGGATTGGAAAACCATAAGGTTTCAACTTATAATATCCATCGCAATGCCAAAGAAAGTTTGGGCCATGTGAAAAAATGAACAATGATAAACTTCCCACATTATTACATACTTTACTCCTATATATTCTCCTTTTCAGTATTGCATGCTTCCTTCTTAAAATTCCCTCTGGATCTATCGAAGCCAAGAGCACCATGCCAGTACTTCTACTCATATTTTATTATAGTCAATTAATATAAATTTTTAAAAATAAATAATAACAACCTTTTGACTTGTAATTGATGTAAGTTTTTTAATTTATTCCACATTGCCTGATACCCTAATAATGATCCTGGACCTTTTAACTCTTCCTATAATAAGTAATAACACCAAATCCTAATCAACTCAGTAGCCAGCTGCATCATTAGTGAATGATGAACAATAGCTAATTCAATATTTGCAAAGAACTTTTCTGACGTGGCCTCCTATTTAATTGATTGCTTTTTAGGAGCCGTGTATATGCCTAATACTGTCAATTCTTGTCACATACTATAAGTTGACAATAAATAATCCATAGGCTAGGCTTACCTCAAATCTACATTAATGAAATGATGTAGCAACCACTGAATCTCATTTACTAAACATCCCTTTTGCGCAAGATTAGTGATAATGAGGTTTCTTGCTTCCAAATCCAACCTAGACATTTCTTGTCACCAAACAAACCAAACCACGATGGAAGGTATGAGCATGTAAACAAGACCACGAATGAGAACAATTATTACAATGTGAAGAAGAATAATACAACATGAACGAGAATATGCGATGTGTTCGAGAATGTGAACAGGAATGTCGCTTGGGGCTTCCGTATTCTTCAGCTTTGTGCAGGCTTCTCTTTGATGCTACTGCTCTTATTCAAGATGAAATGACAAACAAGTTAAATTGTGTGTTGTAAGGTTTGTTACACTTTCGCAAGGCCTAAACAACACTGCAAGACATGCATTCCTTGAGCGACTTATGGTTAGCTCGATCAACTCTATCTTTGCTGAAGCGACCTTTTGCATTGCCCAGAAATAAGTGAAAATGAATTAAGATACTGAGTAAGTTTCTGAATATTATTAAATTCGTTTATACAGGGCCTATCCTATATTTCTCCTTACAAGACAAAGATTCAAAATGTGAGCATATGTGTGACCCGATATGAGAAAACCAGGCTATCTGCGGGAATTATCATTTTGAGCTATGGGCTCATAATCACGAAAAATCTTTACCTGGGCGAAATTCATTTTATCACATAAACATGTTATATAAACAAAATCCTTTCATTTGATACCAAAATCAGGGGTAGCGAAGCCTTCTTTGCCGAGTTATAAGCCCTTCGACATTTTACCTTGATTGTGCACGGAGAATGTTACACGGAGCGACCACGGAATAAAAACGGAGGGCTTTAATGCGTCATTAGGTAACCATGGAGTCTCTATAGCAACTATTTAAAGTATAACAAAGACGAAGAAGACTACTTATAAAAACTATGGCTACAGAAAGAGACATTGCTCGCTTGTTAAATGAAGAAATAGGTCCTCGAGACAGTGACTACGTTGCTTCAGTTCTTGGAGACTACTTTTGTGATGAAACTAGTGGTAAGCTTATTCATAACACTGTTTACATACTAACTGTGAATTGCGGTTAGCTATCACAACAATGACATTCCATCACCTGTATAAATGCACAATATTATTATATTAAACCTAGTTATACAGTGTATTTGTTAATTGATAGAGACAGACTATGAAGCAGTAGAAGATATGGAAGAAGAAGAGGTAGAGGAAGGGAAAGAAGAAGAGAAAGAGACAAAAGATTGTGATGAAGATATTAATCCACCACTGTTTGATCCTGAGGTGGCTGTGGAGCTACAAGTATCAGATCTTGATTTAGAATCAGCGATGCCTGATGCTCCAGCTACTTCAACTACTCACTCTGGTGATGACATGAGAAAGGAAGACCTATAGGAGGAAGAAGAATTATCAAAGTTCTTTGAACATGGATGTGGTTGCTCAGATAATTGCTATGCACTGTTCAGTCACTCTTACATAAAAACATATAGATGTGACATACAAGCCATGGCAAAGCCTGTTCAAGAAATTGCTATTATGAGTCAAATGGCAGCAACATCTACCATGGGGGGATTGTCGACTGGCAACCACAGGAGACAGAAAGAGAGAAAGAGGCAATTTTTTAAGTTCATGCATCAAGGTCATAAGGTTTGTAACTATGAATGACACAACACAAAATTAATCGTTTTTCAACTAGATATGTAGAGTAACATTTCTGAAGCTACATGCATGTGGCAAAAGCAGGTTTGAGGAAATCATAAAAAACTACAGAATGAATGGATTAATACCAAGGTATGAATGGACTTACAAATTCAATGTTATGTACTTAACTTTATTAGAGTTCACAGAAATGCTGGAAAGACACCAAATCATGCTTTGACTTATGATGATATGCTCCGGGTTGTTGCTTTCATCAGAAATTACGCTGAAGTCCATGGAATCAGTCTTCCTGGAAGAATACCTGGAATGAAAAGTTACGAGAATAAGAAGTTCTTACCATGCAGTACATCTAAAAGGCAGGTATACTTAGAGTATGCGGAATCATGTGAAGGGCTTTATGTCAAAGCATGTGCTGAAACAACATTCAACATGTTGTGGCGATGCTACCTGCCTTATTATATTGAAAAAATGAAGCCTATGTCTGACTTGTGTGCCACTTGTAAAGAGATAAGTGGACTGATTATAAGAAGTGCTAGCATGCAATCAGATGAAAGGATAACTGAGGTAAGTCAGTATTGTAATAACACAAGTATTATTTAGAATTTTCAGGCAATGCAAAAGGCACTAGATCACAGAAGTCTTGTTAAAAAGGAAAGGGAGTACTATAAGGATGTATTAAAAGAGGCACAATTATTGTTAAAAGGGCTGTATACTGATGCAGCAAACAATTACAATCCCCCACTAACAAGGCCACTTGCTATGTTAAATATTGTAGCACATTATAGCTTCGATTATGCTCAACAGGTAACATTTTATGATAATTATGAAAGTGTATCTAGCTTACTTACTTTTTTAAAGGTTCACTATCCTTCAAGTCCACTACAAGCAGGTCCAATTTATTTTCTTACTCCCAGGAAATGTGGCATATTTGGCGTGTGCTGTGAAGCTATCCCTCAGCAGGTTAATTTCTTGATCGATGAATCATTCGACACTGGTAAAGGGGCAAATCCTGTCATAAGCATGGTATATTTTTATTTGAAGAATCATGGCCTCAACTCAGTCAGTATCCATTTCAATGCTGACAACTGCACAGGGCAAAATAAAAATAATACAGTTATTCAAGTAAGTATATTACATGCACAATAATGAACATTTTAAATGAAATTCTTTATTTATTTTAGTACCTCTTATGGAGAGTCATGACAGGACTCAATGCGTCCATTTCAATATCCTTTCTGCCAGTTGGACACACAAAATTTTCTCCAGACTGGTGCTTCGGACTATTAAAGCAAAAATTCCTTAAAGCAGAGGTGGACTCATTGGATGACTTCATTCAAGTTGTAGAACAATCATCTGCTGTGAACAAAGCCCAACCAGTAGGAAGTAGCAATGGTGAACTCATTGTAGAAACACTTGACTGGTGTAGTTACTTTGCTACATTAATCAAGAAAATAAAAGGCATCAAAGGCTTTCAACACTTTGTTGTAAATGCGACCTCACCTGGTGTAGTTGCAGCCAGACAAGCTGTAGATGGCCCAGTCACACAATTCAATTTGCTGAAGGAGGACGCTCAAATAATGGAAGATGAACTACCTAATATATTACCACCAAAGGGTATGTCAACTGAAAGGAAATGGTACCTTTACGAAAAGATAAGATCGTTTTGCAGATACGAATGTAAAGATGTAACCTGCCCGCTTCCTGATGCACCTCGACCAACAGGATCATCTCGACAATCAACACCAGGTGTAGATAATCCACCAGACCTTGCAATGGAGATTGAAGTACCACATTCTCCAAGGCAATCTCTAGAACCACCTGCAACACAAAGAAAATGTGGTAATTGTGGTCAATTTGGTCATAATAGAAGAACTTGTCCATGTAATCAGTGAATGAATAACAGAAATGAGTTTGTGTAATGCACATACTATTGATCCCCTTTCAACAGGAGAGGAACTAGTTTGTCTACAACAAACAGACTATTGATCCCCTGAAACAGGAGTGGAACTAGTTTGAATGCCAAACATTCAAACTATTGATCCCCTGAAACAGGAGTGGAACTAGTTTGAATGCCAAATATTCAAACTATTGATCCCCTAAAGGAGAGGAACTCGTTTGTAACGCTAAGACATACAAACTATGGATCCCCTTTTTTGAAAACAAAGGTGTGGAACTAGTATGTGCGTGAGACGTCAACATAAACACAAACACTCATTTTTGTTTAAAACTTACTAACTCAAAAGGGAAGGCTGAGAGAAAGTTAGTCTCGCCTGAGAGAAAGTTAGTCTCGAAGTTATCATGCAGGTGATATGTGTTTATTTTTACAGGTGAGAGGACTGATGATAAAAATGTGTGGGAGAAGAATACCGAAATAGAAGTCATTGCGTCATTCACAGCCAATCAAAGAACACCAAGTGTCAACTGTGACCTTTAGGATATAAAATAAGACACCTGAAACTGTAAGTTCAAAATCAAAAAGTAATGGCTGCCCCAATAGAGGATGTCCTCATTGAGGTCCATCCATCTGATGGTAAGTTGGGAATGTGTAACCCTATAGTGATAACTATAATGCCTTTTTTTGGTAGATGAACTTGGTAAGTTGTTTATATGTTTGTGTTGTACATTAAAAAGCAAAAAATAACTTCATTTATAGCAGAAAAAGAAGTCAGGGAGAAAGAGAAGAAAGGAGACAGAGGAGAAAGGACAGAGGAGAAAGGGGAAAGAGACATAAAGGACAGAGGAGACAGTACAAAAGAGAATGGTAAGATTGAGTGAAATTGACATTGAAAATGACATTGTTTTTAATAGAATCAAATGGCCTAAGTAAGTTTTCTTTTATGATTGCAATCTAATAATTTTTGCTGTCAAGCAGATGTAAGAAGGACCATTGTATTGAAAAGTAACTTTGCATTGTATTTTGGTTAGTTTTATTTACAAACATTAGGCAAGAAGAAAGAAGGAAGGCCCTTAGGTAATTAAATTAATAATAGTTGAATTACTTGTACTTTCATTTAACACTAATTATTAACTTTAAGACTTGGAACAGTTTCGGCCAGCTCTTAAAAGTAAACATAATTTAAGTGTAAATTAAAGGCTTTATGACATTGTAAATTAGGACAGCTGGAACTAATAGAGGAAGGAAGGAGGGAGAGAGGAGAAATAAAGGAAAGTGATGATGGGGAAGAAACAGGGGCAGGAAACGAAACAGAGGGGACAGAAGAGACGGAGACGGGAGAAGACACAGGCACGGGAGGGGAGACAGAGAGAGAGAAGGGAAAGAAATTCAAAGTAACAATGGAGCATTAATGTAAACAATAATAACTTAATCTCTTTTTATTAGAAGAAAAGGAGACAACATA